CGAAAGAAGAGATCATAAGAAGCATTTTTTGTCATTACATGTGGCCGCGGAAACCAACGGTTCCCGAGATTATCGACCTCGAAGTTCCCATAGGATTTACATATAGAACTAATTAAATTCATTGTCTTCTGCCTCTTCTATTTCAATGGTGCGTTCTGCGTCATCGATATCAACAGTTCGCTCCACCAAAGGGTTGTACAGCTCGCCAGCCATCTTATAGAAGGCCAAACACGGGTCAAGTCCTTGATACCGACACATTTTCAAAAACATATATTTAGCTAAATGTGACGGGAAAAAGGTCTTTCTCCGAGAACCAGAGGCAACAATGGCTTTAGCTCCTCTCCAAGAAGCTTCGATCCTGTTTGTGTGGGCACCTGTAAGTCGACGATAGCTCAGTTGGTGGAGCGGGCGCTTGGCGCCAGTGATCAGTACATACCTGTTTCGGGATCCTTAAAGTTGTACTTGTGGTTCACTTTGAGGTGATAATAATTAGAGCCCTGTTGATCAGGTAGACAGTCATACGCCTTCCAAAAATCAGATATAATAAGAGTTCCGGGTAATATCCACTCTTTTATAATTGGGATTAAAGTATCTTTATCCCGATAATCCACTGGAACCATGAAAACCCGACCGGATTCCCTTTGGATAAAGTTAGATTAGTATAGGTGGCCCGGCCACCCGCTCCACCAACTGAGCTATCGTCGACTTACCTTTCAATGCCACCGAAGACCCATTGGCCTTCAACTCGGTGGCCTCTGTGGTATTTACGTTTACCGAACTTCGATTCATCGATTTCGACTATCTTTCCTTCGCCACCATTCTTTTCTTTTTTATTAATCATTCCATCGAATACCACTTCACGACAGAATGATGCCCAATCAGTGACTGTAGTTTTGGACTCAATTTCACACTGTTTTCCAATTACATACAGTGCTACATTATCAATCCAAAGGTTAACAAAACCAAGTATTTGCCATAATTGTAAGTGTGAGCGCTCAAAGAAAGTCCCGGTACGGAGTCTCACGATTCTATCACATGTGGCAGCCTTTTGCTTGCGTTTACTGACTTTTCCATGACATTTCCAGTAGTAGCCGTCAATACTATAATACACAAACAATAATTATTATCGACGATAGCTCAGTTGGTGGAGCGGGTGACCTAGGCCACCTAACCTAACCTAACCTAACCTAACAACCTAACCTAACCTAACCTAACCTAACCTAACCTAACCTAACCTAACCTAACCTAACCTAACCTAACCTAACCTAACCTAATGGTAAGATAAGATAATTTAACAAATACTTACAATTGTTGGCTTTTGGTTTGAACCAGTTTTAATGGTGTTTCACAATCAGGACACTTATAATGGGGTTCTGATGGCAATAAACCCCACTTCTGTAGATCAGATATGAAGTTGTCTTCAGTTGACATATTGTGAATTTTAATTAAATTCAATTGTATGGCTAATTGGTCTGGATCTGGTGCCTCAGCCATGAGTCAAACCTAAAATGTGCTGAAAAGGAAGAGGAAAGGCTCAATGCATGCGAGCGGTGTGTGAGTTATGACCTATAGTTAAATGCAGTGCCATCTAGGTTTATTAGAATACCTATTTGCCACATATATACTGATTTATAATGTAATCCTATGGGAACTTCGAGGTCGATTATCTCGGGAACCGTTAGTTTCCGCGGCCACATGTAATGACAAAAAATGCTTCTTATGATCTGGGCTATCGATCTATAATTTCAAAATTAATTTCTGAAAAATTATATAAACTGTGATTTACCCAATACGACTCCTATCCAGACGTCAACTCCACAGAAGGCAAACAAATGCAAACGTCTGACAATCGCTTGCCCTTCGAGCGCACCATCGAGTAGTAGCCGACGTGTGGCCAACACTTCCACACCTAATGTCCCGTTAAGTCTCACCCAAAGGTCGGCCAATAAAGCGCTGAAACCTTTGCCAAACATTTTAATGAACCAAACGCTGACACCAATCGGCAGATCAGTTGAGAGTCCGAAGCCCTCGACTGTCATTAGAAGTGAGTTTCGGTTTGAATTGGTTTTGATTTGAATTTATTATAAATCCTAATAGTTTATAATTACAGAATTAGTGAACAGATCCGTGAAACAGAAGACTCCGATACACGAGAGGACTATGGGATCAGTTGATCGCAAGAGTTATATACGGAGTACTTGGAGCGCACAGTTCTGGACAGCAGTCCCTACGGCTCGCCATTCACTCCAAAGCTTATTGTGAAGAAGTCGAGGAATAATAAGACAATGAATAACACGACTGCTGTCAACAACACGACGCTCTTCAACGACACGACCGCCACTCAAATGCATCGCTCGTTCCGGTCGACTACTACTCAAACAAACGATAGTCTGAGACAAAAGAGTGATGTCTGCAATCAGACCTTCGATGTCCCCATAATTGACAAAACCATTGATCAATCGTTGACTCGAATGAACGACCGCTACAAGAGTATAGAATTTAGTGACAGAGTTACTACTTCTGGTTTTCAAAAGTCACTTAAAACCTATTCTAAGCTAAAGCCAATTCATACGATACAAAAAACTACTGAAATCACTCGAATTGAAGAATTGGATGAAAACACAGGTATGCATTTCTATTTTTATATAATTTCCTCGTTCAATGGGAATAATTACAATTATTTTACTCTTTTTAGTGACTGAACCTCCAATAGAATTTCGTAGAGTATTACATAATATTTGAATAAACAATATTCAATACACTAGACCTCCGATGAAGTCCAGCCCTGGCAAAGAGAACTTCACAAAGCGTTTAGTTCATCGCATATTGCCATTCAATTTGCAGTCGAAAGTGCTTTTACCGAACCTTCCGTCGCACCAGCAGCTGATGACCGCTACCGGCGTCAACACCGGCCCACCCCAGCACATAATGCCAGACATTTCCGTCAGGGAGCTTGAGAAGAGCCAATCCCTGTGCCGCCCCGACCCGAGCTACCGCAACAAGAGCCCCGCATTGTGCACTGGAGGCACAACGACTACCGGTGGCCGCAAACTCCCGCACCGACAGCGCAGCACAATCCAATTGGACGAGCGGTGTGTCGGACGTGACGACGTACGGCACCCTCAGCGACTCGACCGCACAGCCCGACTCCTTGCATACCGGCGTGCCTTCCAATACACAGCTGCGCGACCTATCGGTGCCTCTGAAAGCGCAGAACAACTTGAAGAACCAAATGTATTCGTCGAACGATTTCACCAAAACAAGGCAAACACTGCAATGATGTTCGCAGATTATTGTCATAAATGTGGCAAAAGGGGTCAATATTAATATAATTAAGGAAATTTTTAATGTTCCCGAAACGACAGCACGCCTTATGTAAAGGATTTACAGGTAATTACATTGCATTCAAATGAGATTTTGTTGACTAATGTCTAAATGCATATCAATTATAATCATATTATTAGTTATGATATAGTGTTTGCAGTTTGCTTTCTAAACAAATATTTGCTTCTATTTAAATCTAGACATTTATTATAATTTTATTTAGTTTAGTAACCTATGTGTCAATCATTAATTCATTCATTTGACCACAAATTGATTTCGTTTGATTTCAATGAATAGTGTTATGAATGCATATAAGACGGGATAAGCATTGAACTGTTACGCAATGACCACATGAATGCCCAGTTGTACCAATTGTACCAAGGCACCCTTACACCTTAGCTGTCAAAGTGACCATCCCTTTACACCCAAAACTCCATGTCTACCACTATTCACAAGTACTACTGTATTGCAATCTATGACACTATTTTTCATACAAATGGTACGATTCTGTACAAGAATACCATAATTGCAATCAGATTTCAGTATTTATCAGTAAACTAGTAATTAATGAAATAGTAATAATATGTTTAATGATTTGTATTAAATTATATTATCTTAAATGAGTTTTTATTTATGCAAATATATGCAAAAGCAAAATATAGTGATATTTGCAAACATTTTAAGTGTTTTATAAATCGATTGAATATTTGTGTGTTTGGAAAGAGTGGAGAAAATAACGATTGAATTGTTAGATACTGTGAACTATAATAGTTTAGAGACTTAAAGTATTAATATTATATGATAAATATGAGTGAATATACATTATATAGAAATAATGAAGTTTAGAGTAAATGACAAAATATTGCTAAATATATGCAAAAAGTATTGCAAAGACATTAGTTTTGGTGAGGAATCCGACAAAAGTGTCACACATTTGGATCAATACATTAACAATTTGTGGCAATATACTTAGTTTCTAACAACTATTTTTTATATTTTATAGAGAAGAAGGTCGAATTAATAAATGTAAACCTACCTGTCGTCCACAACTATTAAATGAATCACATATCGAAATGTTACATAAATGGATCAAAGAAAATAATCGATTAACACTAAATAAATTGAGAATTATGTTCAATAATGAATTTCAAGAATTGGATATGAAATCCATTACTCCAATATATCAATTTATGAAAGGAAATCGATACTCATTTAAACGTCTTTCAAAGGTATAGTTAATCTAAAAATTAATTATATTTTCATAAATTATAGATATCTATCGTTAATCAATAAAATGTTTTTACCCCTGGTAGAATCCAAAGGAAAGAAACACCCCTAGAACTATAGAATTAAGATATCAATTTGCGTTAAAATACGACATTTTAAAGCAAGATATGTCAAAGTTGTTCTGGGTGGATGAGTTTGGTATTACTGCGTTTGGGCGACCTGGATACGGATGGTCACTAATTGGCACAAAAGCTACAATTGAAGTATCAGCCCTTCCCAGCCCAAACTACACTGTTCATAGATATCAACAAACATTTACCACGACTTCAATACTTATGTCTATCGAAACCTGAGTTCACAGTATCGGTAATGAATTCATTGTCAGAACTGACAAAACTTAAAACAATTGATTTGACTTATTGGGACAATTATAACGATTATTATTATCCTAAAGTTAGAGACAAATTCAGCCATGTTAGTTATTTCCAAAATCAATGGGAAATACTAATACGGGTTGAGATATGCATCATTTGTATAGCCTTATAAAAGTTCAATTTTTTATTCTATATGTTATACAATATTATGTCTAAAAAGCCTATAAATTCTGTATAATGTCTATTTCTAATTACTGTCAAAATTTTTAATTCATACAAATTTCATTGATTACGTTATAATTATAAGAAATAAATTATTAAGTGACCATAACTGTAATGTTAATAAAATGTGCTAATTATACATTATACATTAATTCACAATACAGTATTATGCTGTAATTGTTGTGGAATTATTGTAATATTAATTCATATGATTTGAGTAAAAATTGTTTTAAATGCCATTACATTTATTTAATTCATAAAAATATTGTAACATTTTGTATAATAATCATTATTTAGTAATTTGTATAAAACACACATAATGATTACTATTTGATACATAGATTAAATGAAATCAACACAAGTGTTAAAACAATTCACACTTTTTTATTGAACCAAAATTATAATAATTATTGGAAATACTATCAAACCATAAGTTATAATAATAATCATAAATAATATCTTATTTTTAAAAAATAATAACAAAATTTTAGTTTAACAAAATAACGTAAAATAATTAACTTTTTAACGTTGAAAACACAAAAATTTGATTTTTCATATAAAATGTGTTTAAAAAAGTGTTTAACATTTTGTTTACTCTATTAATTGATAACAATTTGTAATTTAAGTAATTTTTTATATAATCTCTACAAAAGTCTGAAACTTTAGAATTAAAGTACAGTTTATTAGAAGAGACAGTAAAGACAATGAATTTAATTAGTTCTATATGTAAATCCTATGGGAACTTCGAGGTCGATAATCTCGGGAACCGTTGGTTTCCGCGGCCACATGTAATGACAAAAAATGCTTCTTATGATCTCTTCTTTCGATTTATATCAATAAAATTATTTTCTGAAAAATTATATAAACTGTGATACGGCCGTCGTATTGATTACTAACTCCTGACATGACTCGATGTAGTACTCGACGTCGTCCTTAATCTTCTTGATCTGATCCACTTCGACGGTCTCGTTGTCCAACATCCGCATCAGTGTCTCCAACTGTTTGATGTGATACTTGTGCTGTTCGGTCATCTCTTTGAACTCATCTCAGCGGCACTGGTTCTCTCCCGCATCTATATCGCCATACATTGTATCGGTATTTGTCTCCCTTTCCAATACAATGGATTCCGATAACATCTCATCCAAATCCATATATAGTGTGGCCATCGATGAGTATGACCACTCTATTAATTTTGGCTAATCACCACTCAATGAAGTTAGCATTCAATCAATTCATACCACAAATAGCAATACTAACCAATCCTTTGCAACTCAACAGTACATTCTCCTCATTGTTACTGATGTTTAAGTGCTGTTTCTGGACATCGCTGTCATTGTCATTGAGTTCGCTATTATCCAAACTATAGCCACTCTTCTGTGCAATAATTGACGGTAAGGCCAATGATGTGGTCTTTTCGAGCCATTGATTGTCATCGAGAAAGGCTTCATTCAATTCATGAGACGTTAGCTCCGAATCAAATGGTGTCCTATCTCTAAGATGTCTGTTGAGGATATGTCTTGAGATGGAACTCCTTTTGTTGGACTCGTAGTGACAATCACTCCATTTGCAGAACAGCCGCTTTTTGTCTCCCACTTCGCGACACCCGATGTATGTCTTTAATTCAAACTTGTGGTCCGACTCAACACTACTGTCCCCACACTCAGAGTCGGTGTCTCTCTTCGTGCGAACACTCATTGCCAACACATTTGTGTTGAAATCATTGTCCGAAACCCTGAGTTCGTTGTCATTCACTCCAATTAAACGCAAGAGTGAATCCAGTATTTCTTCAGTTAATTCACAATTTAATAAATCTTTTAAATAGTTTTCGCATTTCTTTCAAATCAATTCATATCTAAATAAATCTGTTTTCAAGCAATTATTTTCACGTTTTAATCCATTTACCAATGAATACAACTCTTCGCGACTTAATTGCGATAAATCATCAAAAGTTTGACTCATTTTCACAATTAGTTTTATTTATTTATTAATGTAAACAATTACAAAAAAATACATTCAAGAAATCAAATGATTTGTAGTAAGATTTACAGTTTCAAAGTTTGTGTTTATTGGGTTTAAACACCAGGTGTTGCTTGAACTCACACAACAGTAGCATCAAGAAAGATCGATATCTACTGTAGAGTTCATTACAAACACCAACCCATGGGTTCATTTTTAAAATTTTATACTAAATTAAAATGATTAATATGGTCTCAAATAATTGACTCATTTATTTGGAGACATAACACAGTAATCAATAATTACACGATTATATCGATTATATCTAAACCTAATTTCAGACAATTTTTATTTCATTCTCATTATCTAATCAAACAATTCTCTCACCTATTAATAACATTCAAAAAAGTCATAAGGCGTGATTCACAAAGTACATACGCACACCTAGGGGGGAGGGGGGAACCTATATTGGTTGTTGAGAATTAAGCTTCAAAGTTTACCTCGCAAAACTTTTCGCGAAACCTAATATTTTAAAAAATAGGCATAAATAATAGTAAATATTAATTAATATCATACTTATTAAATGGTTACTCTAATTTTATCACTAAATTGAATATAAAACTAATCAAGAATAAACTTCTGAAATATTTAGCAAGTTTAAATTTCAATCCAGCTCACTTTTTGATATTTTTGTTTTAAAGATTGAAAGAATTCTTGTCATCCATTTTGGGAAAATTTCTATAAACACATGATTTTGAGTAACTTTTACTCATATTTAATCAAATAAAATTAATTTAAATAATAATTTGGATTTTCAAACAATATTTAAAAGACTTATATTTGAATAATATTGAAAATAATCAGATATTTGACAGTTTTCTCAATAGGGGCGGGACTTCATGTATGTATGGTAAAAGGGCTCATGTATTCTACATGTATAATCTAGGGTACCAATTGGCGGAGTTATTTTTTCCAAACTCACAACACTCTGCATAAACCAACCCATGTTAGCCCTCTCGCATATATCTATTCTAATTTATACAAAACTGATAAGCGATACAACATACAATACCCCAAAAATGAACATTTTTCATTATTAATTGTTAAATTGTAAATTAAATTAGCCGAATAGTTAGCTAAATTTAGTTAATTATTCACAAAATTAACTAAATTGTGAGATAAATAAACAAATTTTGATCATAATATAGTCAAATTTAAACATTT